TAATAGGTTGGGGTTTTTTTTGCTTTTTTTTTTTTTTTTTTTTATCTTTTTTTTTTTCTTTTTTTTTTTAAAGGCAGGTTGTACCCCCGGCAGGATACAGCCATCCTCTTTTCCATCCTCTCTTAAAGTGTTCTCGCACCACGCTCCCGAGGTAAACACGGAGAGCCAACCCCACACGTACGCACAAAATCCGGCCGGTTCGCGGAGCGGCTGCTGCTCCCTCCGTGCTTGGTAACACCTCGGTGCGAAGTCCCATTAACGCAAGGCAACAAAAGCCATTTGCGATGAAATCCACACGCTCGCACGTGTGCTAACTGGAAGACCGGTCCTGAAGGGAGGGAGGGGGAAGAAGAACGCTTTCCACCCGAAATGCAGCTGAGTAATATGTGTCTTTTTTTCCTGACTGAATTTTTTTTTTTAAAAAAAAAATCTAAAACATAAAAAAAAAACCCAACCCAGCCAAACAAAAATAATAAAAAAAGCCTTACACAGCCCACAAACCCCAACACCCCTCATTCATAGAAATCAAACACCCGCCAACGAGTGGATCTAAAGCTCAGCTCCCGCACCGGGAGACAGCTTCATCCCAAACTCCTCGATCCGGGACTAGGTCACCAAACCACTTAGTCGGCGCTGAGCCTGCCGAGTCCTCGGTCCCTTTCCTAAACTACAGCATCGCCCAAAACAGCGTCAGGGTCGGACGGGAGACTGCCCCCTTCGACCCAGAGATGCATGTCGGAAAGGATCCGCCGAGGCTGAGGGGTTTCTTCCCGCGTGGGTCACGACCAAATAACAGCGTTCACTTGCAAAGTAGAGTCTTTTATTGCGCGGTTTGAACGCACTGCACAGGCAACTTTTACGAAACGGGTGACAATAGTATTCGTTGGTTTGAGACTAGGCATGGGTCCTGGGCATCGCTCTTCTTTTTCCTCTTCTTCTCCTTTTTGTCAGATTAAAAGACAATCGCCTCTTTCTAAAAATATGGATGCACATACAGACACAGAGAGAGATGCGCGCACACAATCTGTGCTGAACGGCTCCAAAACCGAATGAGGTGGATTTTTTTTTTTTTCCCCAAGCGGTTAAATTACTATGTCTCAAACCCGTGGGAACGCGGCCCTGAAAATTAGGAGGCTGGGGGAACACTGCTCCAAAACCCGTGATTTCAGTTAGGCAGCTGACCCCTGTAAATTTGTGCAGCTCGGTATAATGAACCCGCAGATATATCGAAAAAGCTGAATTTAAGCGCCGGTCCTGAGCCGATTTATTTGGATGCCTCGGGTACCTAGAGTGCAAGAATAATTCTCTTCCCTTTGTCTCTTGGCCCTCTCATTCATTCATCTGTCCATTCATTCAGCCAGCCGCCTATCCATCCATCCATCCATCCATATGGATGAGTGTAGCATCCTACAAAAGCCTTATCTACGGAGGATCTACCTATAGACCAGGCTGCTTCTGGATCCCGTTTGCCTTTCCTCATACACTTCCGACAAAGCCGTGTTTCCACAAGCCCCGAAGTTCCTGGGGATGGACCCCAGCCCCTCTCCGGCTGCAGGACCGCAAGGAAGCCTGACGACGGAGCAGAAGTTTTCCTAAACGAAATTGAGAGACGGAGGGATGCTGAAGGCTCCCGCTTGCATCTGCGGGGCCGGGGCTCTGCCCGGGCCCGGGGGAAGCGCTTACCTCACATTCCTCATATTTGATATTATCCGTCAGTTTCCAAAGCATTTTCATGGATTGGCGAGAGAGAGAGGATTTGGTTCTCCCTGCCTTGCCTCTCCCTACGGTGGCGGTGCCGGGCGGCGTGGGGAGCGCGGCTGGCGGAGGCTCGGCAGCGCTCCCGTCCGCGCTCGGAGATCTCCCTCTAATGGTGGAAACTTTTCCCTTTTCCAGCTCTTTACCCACAGTCTAATCGCCTCATTAGCATATCAACAACAGCCCAATTGCTCGCCAGCACAACAACCTGCAGCCATGGACGCAGGTAGAAGGGACCCACGAGCAAGGGAAAAAAAAATAATAAATTAACGACAAAAAAAAAAGCTTTCCTCGACCTGCCGAGCCCCGGTGCGGGGGGGCAGTGGGCCCTGCCTGTCTGCCTGCGGGCCGCTGCTAGCCTCTGTGCCTCCGCCTGCCAGCGGGGAGGAAAGTGGCCAGCGAAATCAAAGAGGCTACCGTCCGATCCGCAGAAAGTTTGGGACTAGCCATGAAGCCACCCCATGGGATTTGATTCTCTCCCTAGCCATTTTTTTTCCTTTTTATTTTTTTTTTCCACGGAGGTTAAAGGAAGCAAAGCGAGAAGAAACGAGACTCGAGTCCTGCTCGAACAAGGTTATTGTCTGCGGAGGCTTCTCTTGCCCTCTGCTTTTGGTCTTCTTGTAGCTATTTTAAAAGCTTCTTTCCTTCGCAAACTATTATTTTTTCTTCTCGGCTCTATTGGCTATTTGGCTTCAAAAAAACACCACCCCAACCAAATCCAACATTATCTCTCAAACAGAAGTGGACGAGCGGTAAATTAACTGTAGCAGGAGCCAAAAAGTCTTTTGCAAGCACTTGAGCAAAAGGACAAAACAATGACCACAATAAAACTTGGGTACTTTCTTAGGTGGAGCGCTTCGTTTGCTTAACAATGTGCCGCTAAGAGGGCGCTCAGGCTGCCCTCCTTGGGGGCTGCTTCTCCACCCTTCTCTTTTATTTCTCCGGGTGCCCAGCCTTGATCCATCTATCCACCGAAAGGCTTCGTTTTTCCGGTGTTTGTGGAGTTTTTTTTTGTTTGTTTGTTTTTCTTGCATTTTTTTGTTGGTTTTGGTTTTTGGGGGGTTTATTTTGTTGGGGTTTTTTCCCCTCTCTGGGCAATCCCTCGTTTCACCGGGGGGCGAGGCATTCCCGTCTCCGTGGGGCTGGCGTCTGGCCTGGCGCAGCTCGCCACGCTAGCCGTGTCCCCAGGCGTCACCAGCAGCCGGGCATCCCCATGGCTGCCTGTGCACCTGGCTGCCCTGCTGCTCCCCGAAACTTCCTTTTGCCGACGGCAAAACCTGCCTTGTCGGCCTGGAAGACCCTCCCGGGGCCACCCTCCCCCCCGCCCTCGACGTCGGAGGAAAATTTATTGCCTCTAGGAGCAAATGGCCCCTGCACTCCGATGGGGAGCCGCAGTGGGCCCTCGGGAGCCCGGCCCACGTGTCGCCACGCCGGGAAGGGTGGCAAAGCCTCCGGGCTCCCGGGGCTGCTCCGTCACACACAAACATCCATGTCCCCTAAACAGATTTTTTTTTCTTTCCCCTTCACCCCTCCTCCACCATACTCCCACCCCTGATGCTCTTTTTCACCAGAGCTTTTGTCTGCCACTGGCAGGAGAGTAAATTGTTGTTTTTACGCCCATTGAGGTTCAAATGGATCTGGCAGATTAAGCCTAGTTAATGCCCCGGGGGAGGGGGTTGCTGGAGATGAGAAAAAGAGCAGGGAAGGGGGTTGACGAAGGGGCCCATCGCCCCTTAGCGCCGTCCTGTCTGAATCGGGGCGGTCGGGAAAGCCTCCCACCCGGGACAGCCTCCCACCTGCGGCTGCTCGGGACTGCCGTGGGCCAAAGGCCTGGATCCCTTTTGCCTTCTCTCGCCATGCCCGGGCCGGAGGAGTGCAGGGTTGCGAGGGGAGGGGGCGGTTTTCCCCGAGAGATCCACACGGGGCGGCGGGAGGCGGGTCCGCGCGGCCCGGCCCCTCCGGCCAGGGGGCCCCGCAGCTCCGGGGAGAAGCGGCAAGGAAGGCCGGGGTGTAAGGAAAATCGGGAATAGATTTCAAGGCAGATAACCCGTAAACACGATTGCGCAAGAATTGATTTCAGTGAAAGAAAAGAAAACCTTCTTTTGATGGCTTTTTCGCAGAGGTCTGATAAAAAGATGTTAGCAGATGTAAAAATACTTTAAATTATTTTTGTTTACTTATTTTGTTCCCCCACCATTTTTTTTTAGACGACTTGCTTCTACCCTAAAGAAATAAAAAAAACAAACAAAAAGGTAGTCTAAGGAAAGACTTGGTCGAGAGATTCGAAAAGTTGGGAGCAGAAAAAGAAACTAGGCTCCCATCTGTAACTGGACTGTCCTGAGGAAGAAATAAATTTTTAAAAAGCCATTTTCTCTAAGAAAATCCGGTGTGCTTGAACAGGACGGTGCATCTTCCCTTTCATCAGCCGGCAAACTGCGGTCATCCGGCCCGAGCCGATGGGCATCAGGGCGCTCCAGGGTTTTTCAAGTGTCTCCCGGTGGGTGAGCCTCCGTAACTCCACACGTGCAGTCTCTCCCGTGGTGCGTGTGGCTCCCCTCGGGTCCGTGGGGCCGGGCGAGAGCCTGGCGGGCCGCGTGTTCCCCTCCTGGCCTCTTTCGCTGGTGGGTTCTGCTTTTCCCTTCAGCTCATCCCGCGGGAGTGCTTTCCACGGGCGCCCCCGGCGCATCTACTGCCGGGTGGGACCCGGCAGCGTCACTTTTCCATGGGACAGGCAGGGTGGGAACTCGTAAGGAGGTTTCAGTCCCCGATGCGCGGTGGGTCACGCCGGAGTCTGCGGGCCCTGCCCCGCGTGGGGTCCCGTGGGCAGCCCCAGGGCTCCCCGGCCGGCCGGCCGCCGCCAGCCCCGGGCACAGGGACACCGGGCGGGCACACGCCGCCCTCGGCCGGCCCACACTGCCGGCGTCGTGTCACCCGCGGCGGCGGCGGCCGAGCACAGCCCGAGCCCCTCTCTACTCCAGTCCACCGCTCTCTACCTGTTGCAGTCGGGCCTCACGAGTGGCCGCGGGCAGCCCCAACACCGAGAGCCGCAAAACACCCAACCCCAGCATCAGGCTTGCCCCCAGTTCCCTCCGGGCCCGTCACCTTTCTCGCTCCAGCCCTACCTCCCGTCCCAAAATAACAATAAACCCCCCCCCCAGGGCAGAGGGTCACCTTACCTGCCAGTCCCCCATCTTGGCAAGGATAGACATCCTGGCTGCGGGCTCCGAGTCCTCAGGTCCCTGCTGGTCATGGACTGCGAGGGCAAGCCACCCGCCTGGGACGCCTGTGGGTAAATCCTCCCCTTACCTGAGCCGGGACTCTCTCACCTGGCCATAAAGAGCTGGGTGCTCCCTGCCTGCGCCTGCGCGCTGCCTCCGCGCTGCCTGCGCGCTGCCCCCCGCCACCGCGCCCGCCCGGCCCCGCCGCTCCCGGGGGACCGCCGGCCGTGACCCGCGGGGGGCTCCCGAGCGTGGCCCGGGCGTCCTGCAGCCGCTCGGACCCCTGCCCTCTTCGCCGTGGTGTCGCGTCCCGGCGCTCCCCAGCCGGGTGAGCGTCCCGGCGCTCCCCCAGCCGCGAGCAGAGGGCAGCTCTGCCCGCCCGGGTGCCCGCCCGCGGCCGGGGTGGGGGCGGGCGAGCCCCCCAGGCTTCACCTTCCCCCAGGGGGCCGGTGGAAGGTTGCCTAGGGGCAAGTTGTCAGGGACTACATGGACGTAGTAGTAGTAATAATAATAATAATAATAATAATAATAATAATAATAATAATAATAATAATAATAATAATAATAATAATAATAATACCACCAGTAGCCCAGAAAGCCAAAGCACCAGGAGGGCTGAACTAGCCCAGATGGGTGACGGAACTACTGCAAATTGCCAGGGGAGACCAGGGAGAAACAAAGACATCCCCTCCAGTGCACAGAGTCTTTCCAGCCCCTGGTATGGGGGCCAAGACGGGGCGGGCGGCAGCGGCCGGGGTGATGCGCACCAGGCTGGCCGGAGATCTGTCCCGCCGGGCTGCGCGGGAGCGGCCTGGGGTGAGGGATGCTGCGTTCCCCCGGGGGAAGCTGGCCCGCGACAGCCTGTGGCCCTTGGGCCTCTCCATGTCCGTACCCCTTGTCCCCGCCCACGTTTTGTTGGCTTTTTTTCCCCTCGGGGATTCAAGTGTCGAAGTGCCCTGGAAGTTCGCCAGTGTGTCGCACAGCCCTGATTTCACACCCCAAAAAAGTGAGGAAGCGCGGACCCTGCTTCATTTCTAGGGGCAGGGCACTGGGGGCGTGGGGAGAAGCAGTACTCGAGCTACAGGATTGTGGGAAGGGATGCAAATAATTTCCACTTCGCAGTAGCACAGCAAGCCCTTTCACATCTCAGAGACAGGTGAACGGGGCATCATGTCCCAGGCACGGGACAGTTTGAAGCTTCCCGCATGTGGGGGGCACTGTCACCCACCAGTGAGGCTGTGTTGGGTTGGGTCCTGGGCTGACCGCAGTCTCTAGTAGAAGGAAGGGGATCGCACCCCCTCGCCCCACCACAAGGGCTTGGATACAAGGACCTTATGGAAGGGAGTTCCTGCCCTGTCTCTAGGCAGGTGGGAAGAGGGAAGCAAGAACTGGCACCCGCAGCCATTAGATCCCGGGGGAAAGGCAGGGCCGCGGGCAGTCGAATCGCCGGCTCCTGCGGGGATTCGCTTCTCATCCACCATCCCAGCGAGCCGGGCTCGGCCGAGACCGGGCACCCTTTGCGGGGAGCGGCGGCTCCTGCGCGGCGGCGGGGCGGGGCGCGGTCAATGGGCCGTGCGAGGTGCGCTTCGCACCGCCGCTCCCAGAGCCGGCCCGCGGTGTACAGTTAGCGTCAAATTACAGCAATTAACCGGGCACCGGAATTTAATTACACAGCCTTGCCCCTTTCCCACCCCCCTCAGTCCTGGGGAGCCTCCTGCTCGGGGCGACGCGGAGAGAAGACGGCCCCGTGCAAAACGGGAAAGGGATGGGGAAGAAGTACAGAGATTTCGTGGCTCTGGAAGCCTGCCGCCTCTCCTTTCCCCGCCTGCTGCTCGTCCTATCCCCTCGAGCCCTCTCTGGGGGGGAATGGAGGAGGCAATTTTGGCCCCGTAACGTTTACTTAAAATGCCAGCTTTTATTACTATTTTGCGGAGAGGTGTGGGGAATTAGTTTGATTTTAAGTTGGTCTTCTGCGAAACGTTCCCAGTAAACTTGGGTGCCGCACTTCTCCCGGTAGGATCTTTCCCTTGTGCCTAACTCCGGCGCTCCCCACACAGGGTTAAATCCCTGCTCTCAGGACCCGGCTCCCACAGCCCGGCTTTGCCCCGCGGCACTTGGCAGCGAGGCGGCCGAAACGGGGCTCTCCCGTGGGGTGTGAGCCGAGCTTTCGGGGCTATGGGCAGCCCTGGCTCGCATCGGGCTCATCCGTGCTCTTTTTTTTTAGCCTAGGGGAAGCGGGCATGGGCTGGGCGCGCAGCAGAGCCCGGGGTTGTGGGGCGCTCCTTTTCCCCTCCCTGGGGCATTTGGTGACCGCGCTTTGGGGGTGAATTCGACTTCCCTGGCCCGGGCATTTAGAGGGCGCCTTTCCCTCGCAGCCTTAAGGGCACACCCGGCCCCTGTAGGGGACTGAAATCGCCGCGCACTGAGCTCCTGTCATCCCTGAAGTGCCAGCTCTGTCTCGCCCTGCCTCCTCCTTGTGCAAAGGGAAGCTGAAGCACCTTCTCTCCTCAGACAAAACTGTCTTCTAGTGCAAAGACGTGTCCTCTCTCCTCTGTGTCACACCGTCTGGTTCACAGCTCGGTGGTGATTTTGGCAGGTGGCTCTGAGGGAGTCATCGCGGAGCTCAGTGCCCCCTGAATTATTTCCGATGGGCGCGCCGGGTCCCTCCCCGTGTGTCACAACGCGGGGAGCACACGGGGCAAAGCTCTACCCTCTACCCTTTCCCTACACCGGCAGCTTTCTTATGGCTAAAAACCCGGCCACGAATCTCTTCCCAACGATAAAGTAGGGAAGAGACGGTCTTGGGGGTCATTCACCTTCCCGGCGTCGAGGTTCCCCAGCCGGTCTGTTACCGACCTCACCCCTGAGTGTCCCCACAGCCCGGCTCTCAGGTGCCGGACAGGTCTTTCCTACTCCCTCCTGCCTGTTCTGCCGGCCCCCAGGGCGAACGGCAAGACCGTTTAGGTAAATCCGGCTCCTGTTTCTCTGCGGGGAGTTTTAGGCTTGGTTATTCTTCTCACTGTGGCTTTTCAGTTCTCCCTGCCTCAGTGCCACCCGGCTGGGGAGAAACTCAACGCGGCTGATTTCCGCCGGCTCACTGACACATAAATAGTTTTTCTCTTTTTTCCTTTTTTTTTCCTTTTTTTTTTTTCTTTTTTTTTTTTTTTTTTTTTCTTTTTTTTTTTTTTTTTTTTTCTTTTTTTTTTTTTTTTTTTTTCTTTTTTTTTTTCTTTTTTTCTCTGAAGTAATTTTTGGCAGCGGCCGGTCTGCGCCCTTGGGGCCACTTGCAGCTCAGGCGGCCCCAGGGCCGGCAGAGGCCCCGCTCCGGACAGATGGACAGATGCTCGGCGGTGGACGCGTGGCTGCGGCCGGCAGCGGGGTGGGCTCGCTCCCCGGCGGGCTCCGGAGGGAGCACCCCCCGCCCCGTCCTCTGCCCCGCCTGAACTCCCGGCGTCGGAATTTTCCGAGGGAAAAAAGAGAGGTTCAGGTTGGTGTGGGTCCACCTCGGCTTTACGAGGCTGCGGAGGAGCGGGATGGCCGCTGTCCCCGGGATGAGGGCTGCCTTCACTGTGGGCGCGGGGTGTCTTCCCGGGTTCTCCTTATAGCAAAGACGAGAGCAGAAAGAAGGAGGCAAAAAGCGGCAGGACATACAAACACTCCAAACACCGCAAACCCTACTAAACAAAGACAAAAAAAAAAAAAAAAAAAAAAAAAAAAAAAAAAAAAAAAGAAAAAAAAAAGAAAAAAAAAAAAAAAAAAAAAAAAGAAGAAGAAGAATACAAATACTCTCCGCCCTTTTTCGCTCGCACTTTGCGGTCCAACACGATTCAATTACTTTTGGGAGGCCCGTGCAGGAGAAGGGGAGGTGCTGTTTCTCGGATGTTAGCGGAGAGGTTTTTCCTCTGTTGATTTGGGGGTTTGTGTCTTGTTTTTATGCCCTGCTGTGGGGTCCCCGAGCAGAGCAGTCTCAACCCTGCGGCCAGTGGATCCGGGAGAGCCCCTCCGATAGGCGACTTGGGATGTTGCAAAGGAGAGAAAAGAAAGGGTAAGAGGAGAAATCCGTATGCGCTCACCTGTGAGCGCCTTGTCCACTGTGCTGTCTCCCAGCTATTCAGACTAGCAGAGTTCGGGTTTTTTTCAAGCCCGTTTCCCACAAGAGGGAAGCTCGCCGAGGGCAACAGGTCGCTTCAGCTTCTCCCGGGACCTCACGAAACCAAGTGCCCCTTTCCTGTCCTTCCTCCCGCGGCTCCCCGCGTCGCGACTTTGCTCTGGGATACTCTTAGAAGGGGGATGCGGGACGTCCCGCTTGGACAAGGCGCGGAGCCGTCGCCCCTGCGCAGCCCCTGCAGAGGAGCAGGAGGAGAAGGATGAGGATGCTGTGTCCCTGAGTTACGGCACTGTGGTACCTCTCCGCGCGTCTCTGCCATTCCCTCTCACACCCCACACCCCCTAACGAGACCCCCTTCGCTCCCGGCCCGCTGTGTGAATCCCCAGCGTGCTGTCAGTAGGCCGATCATTTTGCAAATCAGCAAATAAATACTTATAAATGCACACAAATAGTAACTTTTTTTCGATGCCAAATGACGGCGTGGGAGAGGTGTTTGAGTGCAATTTTTTGAAAGCGAGATGAAAACTTTTTTTTGGAGGGGGGAGAAAAAGTGAAGTTTTTTCCAAGGAGCACGTGGGTCTCACCTGCTCCTTTAATATTTATTTGCTAAACTAACTACACTAAACCAACCAAACAAGCAAAACCGGCAAGTAATCAGGAGTAAATACTGAGCGCACTCTGCGGTGCCAGTGCAATCCAGCTACCGACGACTGGCCGGTGTTTGCATGAGCGACCACATGGTGCAAATTCCCATGCTCTAGACCTCGTAGGGAAAGGTAACCTGTACATTCTGCTTCACCAGATCCCTTCCTCAACCTAGGCCCTTACGGGCTAGCTACTGTCATTGCCATGTCCAGAAAACGAGCTCCTAAAAAGATTATCCCTGCGAGTAAAGCATCGGTGGGGTAAAACTCTGGGCTTCATCTTTTTTTGGATTCCCCAGGGAGGATGGTGTCAAGTACAAATATGGTGAGATTTATTTTTTTTTTCCCCTTGCAAAGCACAATAAATTAATTCTAGAGATACCAAGCACTTTGGTCTCTAGAAAAATAAATCTATCTGCTATATGCATGTCAAGATCTGATTATTTATTCACTCCAACCTGGATGCTTTTTTCTGCACCTTTTTCTGTACATTTCATTTTCTAAACAGATAAAACCCGCCCAGTTTTAAGAAAAAAATTGCATTTGCAGCTTGGATATAAAATTGGAGTATTTTCTGGGCAATTCTGACTGCTCACGTGTCCTTCAAAAGCTTTTGCATTCAAAACACAGCCAACTATTTTGCCAACAACCTCATAGCTGCAGTAGATTGCAGTTTTACTGATCATGCCACCCCAAAATAATTACAAATAAGTTCTATTTTCCATTTATTTTCAAGTTTTCATCAATAACATTGTCAGATGAAATTCAGGAAAGGATATGGTGCCTAAGGTCCTTCAACACATCCCGTTTTATCAAAGGGTTATTGCTAATTATAAATGTTCTAAGAAGGGCTGCTTTTCTCTAGGCAAAGCTTCACTGCCTTTGCTACCCCCTTGCCCTAAAATCCACTGATGCAACTGCACCTATCCTGAGTACAAAACACAGCTATGCTCCAGCATTAAGTCTCCACATGGGGAGTTTTGCTTGGATTAAGATTTCAAAACTGAGCCCATAATAAGATATGCCATAAAACCTCAAACAGCCCTTCTCCCCCAGGGGTATTTATCTTACACATTTAATTGCCCAGTAAAATAAATTCTGTATGTGTACTCTTATATGGGAAGGATTTTGATCTGGTAATTTCAGTGTATCTTCTGATCTGTAGCAGCTTAGAATGACATCCTTGAAAACTGTGGAGAAGCAGAAACTGTGCCCTGCTAAATAATGCCTATTCAGCTGCTAAATATTTACACATAGGCAGGAATGAGCTTTCCTTGTAACGCTATCTCTTAACTCTATATTAGCATTCAAGAAGAAAAACAAATGCAAGTCATTTAAGCATAGGCCAAATCCCTGCTTCTGCTAAAGCAAATAACAGAGCTCCACTGACTTTCGTGGAGCAGAATGGGGCTCCTTCATGTTACCTCCATGTCATATTAACACTGTCATTTTTGTAATGACTTCCCTCTTACAGCAGTCACTGCTGTATAATAAGCTTCAACAAACCCTCGAGAAGTGCAGTGTTATTAGTTTATCTGCTTTACAGATAAGTAAACTGATGCAAGGGGAAGATAAGGAATTTCCCCAAGGTCTTGCAGCTGGTTCGCTTGAGATCAAGGGAAGGAAAGGAAACCAAGAACAGAGACGGAACTAACCATCAGAACATGTTCCATAGCCAGGAAAGCAATATGAAGAGGAGGAGCAGGCAATTGGAAACTCCAGAAAACAGGCCATTTCCATCTGATACCTCACTCTACTCTTCGGTGGCTAAACTTGGGCACTCATGTTTGAAACTCTCAGCTTCTCCAATGATACTTTGGTGTTGCATCCATCCTGGCATGACATGATATAATGGAAGTGGAATTTCATTTTCAGTGCATTGAATAAGACACCCTAATAAGACATGTTAGGAAACAAAGCCTGGTATTACTCACAGCAGAATTTTAATAAAATCTACTTTGATACTTCTATGCTAACATTGGAACTGCTGTCTGCAAGGCATATATTTTAAAGTGTCAAATAATTACAATAAGACATATTACTGGAAAATTACTGTTGGAGGCTCTGACGTCCAAACCAAAATTAATCTGCACAAAAAAAAAAAATCCCTTTAGTGTTTTTTGTTGGTTGTTGTTTTGGTTTTTTCTAACAAGAAACTTCCAAAGCTCTAGTCTTTAATCTAGCCCAGCTTGTATGCAGCTGCAATACATTTAGCCTTTAACATTAACTCTAGCCATTGTCCTAGGACATGTCTACACCCCACGACACTTTATGGTATTAAAAGAATTGCTGTGTGGCTACAGCAACTTGTCACTAAGATATATCGCTCAGCAGAGAGCAAGACAAAACAAAACAGTGAACAACATGGCTTTTTTTTTTTTTTTTTTTTTTTTCATGGCAGCTTATGCTATGGGTATAGTTTGCTTGGCTCAGCTGGGTTTATGTGGTGTTTTATACCAAAATGTCCTGCCTGCCCGACAGCTATGGAGTAAAACTTCAGGAGGTGAGTGAAAGAGCAGGCTGTGCACCGAGTGATCTGGTGTAATCGTTCCACAGAGCCACTGAAGGAATACCAAGCCGCTATATGTACAATGTAATTGCAGTCAGGGGCTGATGAAATAGCTCTTGCGCCAGCCTCCTCCCTCTGTCAAAGGGAAACGAGGGCGCGGTTGGAGGCTATGGCTGACGAGCACCCACAGTACAGCTGTCCTAGGGATTTTCACCTTGGTATCCATTCCAGCAGCTGCAGGCACCACCACGCCAGCTTCAGCTCACAGGGACAAACTGACCAGACAGAGGTTTAGACCGTCATCTTCACACCCAGGAACGCAAACAGTCAGACACACTGGACAAACAAACTTTTTATTCTCCAAAGTGTCGTGTTACCATACTGACACAATGGCACTTTCCCAAATTCATCTGGGAAGTCTGTCCAGAACAAATTTGAGGCTATGCTTGCAGGTGCCGTGCAGGAAGGACAAGGTGATGCACCAGCCTCCCAGGGGAATCACACCCCCCTCCACACAGCTAGGCACATCGCAGCGCTCCTCAGGACTCCCCTTGGGAGAGGCACGGAGTTGCCAGCAGCCACCCAGCCTGTTTACACCGCACAAGTGTAAGCGATTGCGAAGCCCCAGTGCTTTTGCAAGTGAAATCAGTCTTGAGCCGATGAGCTGCTCCCTTAACGCTGCTCTCTCCGGAGCGGGAGTGAAGCCCTCTGACTGCACCGGCTGAGGAGCCTGCAAGGAAAAGAGATAAAGGAAAAAAGGCTTAAGCCTGGGTTTCTTTTCCTAAGACTTTGGCGCCCCTGTGTGTCTTCTTTTTGGGAAACTCAGCCGAAGAACAACCCCAGGCTTTTCTCCCTTTAACCCAGCAGCAGAAACACTGCACTCCAAGTTGGGAGAGCTCTGTCGGGACAACCTGGATAATGCTACCCAGTGGCCTGACTCTAATTTGAGTTGTGCCATTTTCACTCCTTACCCCTCCTCCTTTAGATGCTGGAGGATTGCTGGAATTACCTTCTTTGGCAACCTTATCCAAAGAGCAGCACTTCCTGGAGTCAGGACATTTATCTTTAGCTCTTCTACATCTCTTTATCTCCCAGTGTGTCTGAGGTCCAGTTTGGAAAGAGCCTTAAAGGCAACAGGTTAAAAAAACCAAAACAAAAATCAAAAAGCATTTGATGCATCTTAAGCTATCAAAGTGTCAGATTTACAAACTAGACAGGTAATACATGTAAAATACTAGTCTATATCTTTGCATCAGGGTTGCACCACAGCCAATTTTTCTTCAAAAGTGAAAGCAGAGGTAGAGGAAATTTGACACAAAAATTTAGCAAAACCCTAAGATGAACTTTAAATATTTTTTTTTTTTTTCTGTGAGGTACTTGGCATTATTTATGCCATATCTTCAAAATAACTGTGACACAGAAGAATGAAGTGGGTTGCCTAAGGGTACAGGGATGTGGCAAGCAGCTGGACATAGAGGAAGGAAATCCAGCCAGCCCGAGTTCTGGCAAGATTTACTCTGTTGGAGGTCCTGGTACAAATGGGCTCTGCAGAAATGAGTCTCATAAGTCTTTGTCCCCTTTCCTGCCTTCCAGCTGTGGGTCCTTATTTCAAAACAAGTAAGAGATGTGCATGTCTGAGGGGTGTGGTGTTTATTTGGGGCTATTTAGAAAGCATACAAACACACACTCTGCAAAGTGTCACTGGAAAAAATAAGGCATGCAAACACAGGCAGGCTATCACTTGCCCCAGAGTGAGCATCACCTGCTTCACACTCAACCTCTGTAACCTGGAAAAGGCCCTCCTTTCCTGACAGCCGTGCCTGCCTTTAGACAGATGGCCCCAGCTGTAGGCAATGTAGATGTAGGCCTACCCTGCCTATTTTTATGGGCGGGTGGTTACCCTGCCTTCCTTTCCCACCTGGAGCGCTTATTACTCCTTTCACGCTTATTACTCTTCCACTGTAGCCACCCTTGTCAGAGGTAAATCTGCTCCCTAAGGCAACCACGCTAGGGGAAGCTATCCCAAGAGACTTCTCCCACCTGCTTCCCCATCTCATTTATTTTTCCATTTCCACCCTTCCTTCATGCAGTATCAAGTTGCCCCACCAAAGTTTTTTGTAAGGCACGCTGCTGAATTTAGGTAGTCAGTCTAAAAATAGCCCTGAAGAAAAAATTAAGGCATTGCTTAATTCAGGGGACTTGTGCTGTGTTAGGACTTAGGTCATCTACCTTGATGCCTATTCCCCTGCTGGATATTGGCATGCCTTAAGCCCCATATGGTCTTGCATGATGTGGGCTGCATTTCAAAACCTAAGAACAGGCTGCTACTTAATCTTCTTTTAGACCCATTAAGGAGCCTGAGCTTTGCTAACAGTCCAGTCCTTATGTGGAACCTTCCCAAGAGTAAAAGCCTTTCCTTGCAGTTCCTGGGAGTCCTGCTTCTGGCAATACAACTAGTGGTGTGATACTCTTTTGCTTGTCTCAATTTTCTGCTCTCCCCTCACAGAGAAAAAAATGGTGCTTCTTTATTTTGCAAGGCTAGCACTGGTCACAAAAGCTACTGGGGGAGTGTGAGGTCAAACTCCTCCTGGGGTCCTAGGAAATTGATTTCCAGTGCAGGAAAAAGTTTCTATATTTTTCCCCTGTGACAGGGCCCATTGACTGAATAGGGGATATATATCCCACTTGTGAGGGAGATCAGCACAAACACTGCTCCTAAGGGCTGTAAACCCCAAATGCCTGCACTAATGGC